GCTTAGTTTACATGTATTAGTTTGTGATTAGGTCAGTAAATGGGGAACTACTAGTGGTAGGTCAATGATATTTGGTATGCAGTTGTATAAGCACTGGCATATCTCATTTCCATGGAGATTATTTGGCCCCGCCCCCTCATTCATGGTCTATTGACTTTGAAACTTTTGCTTAGTTTTCACGTATTAGTTTGTGATTAGGTCAGTTTAAGGGGAACCGTTAGTGGTAGGTCAATGATAATTGGTATGCAGTTGTATAAGCATTGGCACATCTCAATTTCATGTAGAATATTTGGTCCTTACCCCTTAGTCATGGTCTATTGACTTATAAACTTTTGCTTAGTTTACATGTATTAGTTTGTGATTAGGTCAGTTTAAGATGAACCACTAATGTTAAGTCAATGATATTTGGTATGCAAATGTATTGGCATTTGCAAGTTTCATTTCCATGGAGATTATATAACCCCACACCCTAATTATGGTTCATTGACTTTGAAACTTTGAAACTTTTACATAGTTTACAAGTTAATGTTTGTGTTTAGGTTTTTTTAAAGGGAACGACTTATGAAAAGTCAATAGTATTTGGTTTGCAGTTGTATTAGCATTGGCGCATCTCATTTCCATGGAGATTGTTTAGCGCTGTACCTTCAGTCATGGTTCATTGACTTTGAATATTTGCATAACTTACATGTTAAAGTATTGCTATTTTAATTTGAACATTTGCATTATCAAAATAACAATAATAGGCGAGACATATCTCTGTGTTAACAGTTTATATATGAAATAATAGTGGAATTTGTGACAGGTGAAACACTTTTGACCTAAGACTGTATTTACTGTACACAGAGTACATTGACTGCTTTCTTCTTCAATATAAAGTTTAAACCAAATATTTTCTTTGAAATGCTGATTTTGATTTTTAAAAAATATGATTATTTTATGTATTTAAAAATATGTAATTTCAAATTCTAATTCACCTTATTTATTCTTCAAGGTTATAAACTCACCTGTCCACTAATGGCCATATGAGCATATGTCATCACTTGTCTTATGTATTTTTTACTTATGTATATTTTTTATCCATTATCAATTTTTCCCAAAGTTTTGAAACTTGGCAGTTATGATGTATGATTCTAACTTTGTTTGAATTAGATGATAAACAAGGTCTCCACAGGTTAAAAATAACATGAGGATAAAACTGCATTTTTCGCCTTGCGTCTCAAAATCTAAAGCAGTAAGAGAGAAATAGGACAAATCATTTTGGAATTATTGCCCCTGAAATACCAATTTATAGCAAATTTTGCAGCTTTTGGCTATTATTATGAAACAAAAGTAGATATTGAGAAATTTTTAGTTTAAAAAAAGACCAGCAAATAAAGCAACACGGCTGAAATACATTGTAATACATCATTTGAATTACCTCCCTTACACTGCTTTTAAATTATGTATATGGTGAATGAACAATTGAGACAATTTAAAAGCAGTGTAAGGGAGGTAATCCAAATACAACATTTTGATTACCTCCCATACACTGCTTTTAAATTATGTTTAAAGAAATGCATATTTATAAAGGAAGACCAGTAAAAATATCTGCAAATGTTGCTTTTTTTTTTTTACAAAAAAATCCATATGAAAGATTTTACACCATATTTTAAATTCTATTATAAAATAGATTTAGTTAGCACTATGGTAAATTTAAATGGGTAATTATGGTTGCAAACTCCATTGAAAATTTGAATTGAGATTATGATTTTTTATTTATTTTTGTGGGGGGAGGGGGGGTCAATTTGCAACAGCGAAGTGTATTGCTCAAAAGCAAAAAATTGAATATAAATTCAAATCATATTATCAATTCTAAGTTCTTTGACTACAGTTATTCTGTATATAATATAGATATTTAATTACAATCCAAATTCAGACCTGTATCAATATTGCGTCCATTTTTGCCCCAACTGTTCAGGGTTGGACCTCTGCGGTTATATCCAGCTGTGCTCTGTGAAGCAATTTATTAAAGATATTGGAAAGTCAATAAAAATATCGATTGCCACCCTTTCCGTTCCTCTTCCATTCATGAATATGTCTTAAATTTTGTAAAAGACTATAAAATTTGACCTTAAACTTTTTTGAAAATATATCAGTATAGTTTTTTAAGTATTTTTCCTACTGACAATTTAAACTTTTCCCTTTATATTGAAAACTGTCTGTTTCCTGACAAAATATTAAATATATTTGCTGTCAGAGCAACCTATTTCCCTAAATTTAAAATCATGAATTTCAATATTTTTTTATGCCCCCGCCATAGCGGAGGGGGCATTAAGTTTTACCCTTGTCCGTCTGTACGTACGTCCGTACGTCCCAAAGTTGGTTTCCGTTCTCTAACTTTAGTTTGCCTCTACCAAATGTTATGAAACTTGTACACAATGCTTATTACCACAGAACACAGATCATGTTTGAATTTTGGTGGCGTCACTTTAACTGTTCTAGAGTTATGCCCCTTTACAAGTGGAAAAATTGCTTAATTTTTTGTTTCTGTTCTCAAACTTTATGTTGCCTCAACCAAATGCTATGAAACTTATACACAATGCTTATTACCACAAAATACAGATCAAGTTTGAATTTTGGTGGTGTCACTTTAACCGTTCTAGAGTTATGCCCCTTTACAAATGGAAAAATTGCTGAATTTTTTATTTCCGTTCTCAAACTTTAGTTTACCTCAACCAAATGCTATGAAATTTATACACTATGCTTATTATCACAAAATACAGATAAAGATTGAATTATGGTGGTGTCACTTTAACTGTTCTAGAGTTATGCCCCTTTACAACTTATAACTTAAGTTTGCCTCAACCAAATTTTATGAAACTTATACACAATACTTATTGTCACAAAACTCAGATCAAGTTCAAATTTTTTTTTTCTAAATATTCTCACATTCTTGTTATTTTTATAACATTTTTAAAACAGTTTAAAGTTTAAGGAGTAGGTTCGATAAGGCCCTAAAATGGCCCCCTTTTTTAACTTAAATTTCAAATTAGGATTTATTGACCAATATCACACTGAATCATAGCTAATACAGTGATTAGATAGGAAATAAGCCTTTTTGTTGAAAATTTACGTTCCTGCATTTTATTCATCACGTCACAAATAGTACTCATTTTGATTTTCCAAGGAAAAAAAAAATGAGTAAATTTCCATTGATTATTGGACAGGAAACATAGAGCGCATACGTCATCAAAAAAGATCTTTAAAATAATGTTTGTAATGACATTTTACATATCTAACTTGAATATTTAGTTTGTCGACACCTGCGCTCTATTTTTTATCTTGGTCCTAAATTTGGCTGAAATTCAACTAATTTTGTCAAATTTCACCAAAATCTCTTATTTTGACCTATTTGGGATGTAAAAATAAACAATTAAGAATAAAACTTTGACAAAAATAGTTCTATTTAACTTCCTCACATGTCTTTAAGTCAACTTAAAACATTTTTAAGTCTCCCAAACTTCTTCTTCTTCTTCTTCTTCCGCCGCTTTTAAATTTGAACTTGTCCGCACCCGTTCTCCAAAACCGCTTGTCAGATTAACTTAGGGTTTCACAATATGTTAGACTAACATGTCTAGTGGTGCAATCAGGGTTTTGTTTGTGCTGTGGGGTTTATAAAGGGGTACTTTGAGGGGCAAAAAGAAAAGAGGGTTTAACTATATAACCCTATGGGATTTTATTTTTTTAAATTTTCAAATGATTATAAATTGAAAACCGTTTGTGATAGACACAATCTTTTTAATTGAAAATGTTCTAAATGATAAAGCCCATTAAATGAAATACAGGGTTAGTCCCCAGGGGTCACCCCACCCCCTGCCATTTAAGAAAGTTCTAATACCTTGTAAGTGGTCAAGATCCCCACCCCTAAACCATATATATTCTGGTTTGTCATGCTAAGATGGTTTGAATGATATACAGGGTTAGTCCCCAGGGGTCATCCCGACCCCCTGCCATTTGAGAAAGTTCTAATATCTTGTAAATGGTCGAGATCCCCACCCCTAAACCATATATATTCTGGTTTGTCATGATAAAGCACATCAAATGAAATACAGGGTTAGTCCCCAGGGGTCACCCCCACCCCCTGCCATTTAAGAAAGTTCTTATACCTTGTAAGTGGTCAAGATCCCCACCCCTAAACCATATATATTCTGGTTTGTCATGCTAAGATGGTTTGAATGATATACAGGGTTAGTCCCCAGGGGTCATCCCGACCCCCTGCCATTTGAGAAAGTTCTAATATCTTGTAAATGGTTGAGATCCCCACCCCTAAACCATATATATTCCTATTTGTCATGTCTCGAACATTTGAATGACGTATACGGTCAGTCCTCAGGGGTTCCCCCCACCCCCAATGTTCTAATATCTTGTAAATGGTTGAGATCCCCACCCCTAAACCATATATATTCTTGTTCGTCATGTAATGAACATTTGAGTGACGTATAGGGCCAGTCCCCAGGGGTTCCTCCCCACCCCCAATGTTATAGTATCTTGTAAATGGTTGAGATCCCCAACCCTAAACCATATATATTCTGGTTTGTCATGCCAAGATGATTTGAATGATATACAAGGTTAGTCTCCAGGCATCACTAATGCATATAACTTTACTGGACCAAACCAATTTTCACTGGACATTGCCCAATGTCAGGTGACCCTGGGAATTACGAATTATGGGAGCTTCGTTTGGGAGACTTCGTAACAGCATCCTGTTACAATCATTTCTTGTTTATCTTGTAACATTGAACTTTATAATCGGGGCCAAATATGGCCCTTACCGAACTTACTCCTTTCCCCTTTAATTTCATATAAAAATCAAGAGATACTTTTTCCATGAAAAATATTTTTTTTCAAAAATGCACAATTTTCAAAAACAGGCCTTCACGTAATTATATTTCAATTTCCATAATAGTTTTTTTAGTAATACATGTATAAAATAATTTTGATGTTGTTTTTTTCTATTTCAGGTGATTCATTAGATTTTGCTGTAGTTGTCAAATCTTTACTTTGTCTAGCATTATTTTTTACATATCCAGGTTAGTATAACTACAATCAACCATCTTATTTTTGTTGATCTTTACTTTTTGTGATTATTTATTCAATTTTCCAAATTTGATGATGTACTCAAAGACATAAAAAAGAAGATTTTAATTCAGCAAATTTCCGGCCATTGATATTCACATTATTATTCAAGCTGCAAAAATAAATTGCTCCTTAAAATAGTTTGTTTTACAGTATTCCATTTTGCATTATAGGATTTATAACACACATAATTTGATTAAAGAGTGAAAAATATACTTCATTATTTTCATTTTCATTCCATTCTAAATTTTATGCATTATTGCACAAAGATTAAGACATAAAACTACATTAAAGTCAACTACAACCTTAAGTTACTCAATGTAATGGTTTATTCAGGTCAACATGTTTCGCCACTAACCATGGCATCTTCAGGACCTTGGTGATAGGCAACTGTGAATACCTTTCGGTATCTACCTGCTAATTATCCTAACACACGATTTCCACTTCAGGTGTTGGTTCACCATATATAATTAAAAATTGATACAGTGTAAAAAGCACTTCCAGACTGAGAACAGTTTTTTATGTGCAAATTATAAAAGAAAACACAAAAGAAACACATCTATATATATGCAAGAAATGAACTTGTGCTATTAATTTAGTTGAAGACTGGGCGACTAGATAGATATTTTTATTTGTACAGTAAACATTAAGTACTTTGTTTTAATCTAACACAAATACAACTATATTTTAATTTAATTTTCAGTAATGATGTTCCCTGTGATGAAAATTTTAGAAGGTTATTTAATGTCAAATCCAGAAAAACATATATGGAGAGGTGTAAGTAACATTCAATATTCAGTATGGTGCAGGTAGTGTTATTCTTCTTCAATTTCATCACCACATCTGAATAGGTTGTTTGTGTTAGCTTGTACAGCTTTTATGGTCTTATGGTAACATGCACTTCAATTAATATTGTGGGAGGTTGTAGGTTTGATCGGTAGCATGTCACCTCAAGTGTGGGAGTTTGTGGTTTCAATCAATGGCTTAGTCAAACAAAAGATGTTTTAAGTGGTATTTTCTGATATTTTTCCAAACAAGCTGCTTTTAGGATATATTGCTCAGAGTCAAAATAATGTATCTTGGAATGGTGACATGTCTTCTTGCAGACTGAAACCTTGTGAGCTAGCTATAGTTATATGTCTCCCTGCAGACTGAAACCTTGAGAGCAAGTTCATTAAAAAATAACTCAACTTGACAATTTAGTATAAAGCATGGTTTATTTATATTTTAGTAACTTTTTATTTTCCTGAACGTGCATGTAATATTTTCTGCTGGGCACTCCACAGCTATCAAGTTTTATTTCATAACAGTTAAGAATTAGCTTCTCTTACTGGATAACAAGGGTCCATTCTTTATTCTTTAGTAAAAAATTCCATCTGTCTTTAACAGAAAAAAACGGACCAGAAAACCGGTCGTTAACAGACTTTTACAGGTTAATGACCAGTGGGGCGTGGTTTCTCTGTTTATTTTGTATTCATATACTGAAATATTGCACTTAAATGAATGGCAGTGACTTATAGTTATCACTATGACTGGTCTTCACTCTTTCCTATAGAAATCTTACAATAACTCGAGTTTGCTTTGAACAATTTGAATTTATGAGAATTTTTAAAAACATGGTTCCTCAATGAAATAAACATAATAGTTATTGAAGAACTGGTCATAATCGTGATACATGGACTGCCCGTAGGACAGTGGTATTGACTGCGACAGCGATAATGACCTCACCTACAGCTCAGTCATTATCGCTGTCTTAGTCAATACCACTGTCCTGTGGGCAGTCCATATATCAAGATAATGACCAGTTCTTCAATAACTATTATATAAATCCATTTCTTTTAGTGTTATTTACCTTTATTGTATGTTTAAGAAGGTAATCTTTGGATGGAGACAGTAAAATTGACCTTCAGCAAACTGTTTAAAAATGATTTTTTTTTAATTAACAACACATGGTTGATTTAGTTGTCTGTTCTTTTTAGGTTGAATTCAATTATGATGTCAGTTTCATTCACTATAGTCCTGATCATGCATGAAATATTTGCCACTATACCTAAAGCAAACAACAATCAATTCATTCACAATTTTGCCATTTGGACAGAATAAGTCCCCAATTTATTTTTTATACAACCAAAACAATATTAGCAAATAATATTTAACCACTTTTTCAAACTTGATGTGGCATTTCATTCTTTATAGTACGTTTTTCATTAAGAAATATATAACAATTAATTGAGAGATATCTCATCGCGTTGAATATCATAATAAACTATATATTTAGATGAGTGTATGTAAAATAATTCTTGAAAATTATTTGTTTTTCAGAATGCTTTACGTGTTATTATGGTATTAGTCACAGGAATGGTAGTTATGGTTATTCCTAACTTTGCTACCCTCATGGCATTAGTAGGAGCTACCTGTTGTACCATGTTAGCCTTTGTATTGCCAGGACTATTCCATATGACTATTTTCAAAGGGTAAGTTGGGATTTTTTTTAAAAAGTGTGGAAATGATTGACTGATTGATTGTTAGTGTCCGTCCGTTCTTGTTAGCGCTCTCACAGGTACAATTCTTGCCAGATTTTTATAAAACTTATACTTTAGGTTAATATCAGCAATATCTCAGACAAATTCTGTAATGTTGGACGATCGATTTTTTTTAAAAGAGTTATGCCCCTTGGAAATATTAAATTTATGGAAAATGGCCTCGTTAGCACTCTCACGGGTACAATTCTTGCCAGATTTTTATAAAACTTATACTATAGGTTAATATCAGCAATATATCGGACAAATTCTATAATGGTGGACGATCAACTTTTTTTATGCCCCCCGCTGTAGCAGAAAGGGCATTAAGTTTTACCCTTGTCTGTACGTCCCAATGTTGGTTTCGGTTCTGTAACTTTAGTTTGCCTCAACCAAATGTTATGAAACTTATACAAAATGCTTATTACCACAAAACACAGATCAAGTTTGAATTTTGGTGGCGTCACTTTTTACTGTTCTAGAGTTATGCCTCTTTACAAATTGAAAAATTGCTGAATTCTTTCATTTCCGTTCTCTATCTTTAGTTTTCCTCAACAAAATGTTATGAAACTTATACACAATGCTTATTACCACAAAACACAGATCAAGTTTGAATTTTGGTGGCGTCACTTTTTACTGTTCTAGAGTCATGCCCCTTCACAAGTGGGAAAATTGCTGAATATTTCGTTTCCATTTTCTTTCTTTAGTTTGCCTCAACCAAATGTTATAAAACTTATACACAATGCTTATTACCACAAAATACAGATCAAGTTTGAATTTTGGTGGTGTCACTTTAACCTTTCTAGAGCTATACCTCTTGGAAATATTAAATTTATGGAAAATGGCCTTGTTAGCGCTCTCATGGGTACAATTCTTGCCAGATTTTTATAAAACTTATACTATAGGTTAATATCAGCAATATCTCAGACAAGTTCTATAATGGTGGACGATCGACTTTTTTTTTAAAAGAGTGATGCCCCTTGGAAATATCAAATTTATGGAAAATGGCCTCCTTAGCGCTCTAACGGGTACAATTCTTGCCAGATTTTTATAAAACGTATACTATAGGTTAATATCAGCAATATCTCGGACAAGTTCTATAATGGTGGACAATCGACTTTTTTTTTAACGCGGGGGACATTGGAACTCTGTTCTTTTATTTATTTGGATATAGTTTAAAGTAGGTATGGAGTAATCATCAATTAGACAGTAATCCAGCAGCAAAAATTAATCAAAATACATGTCTTATGATTGCTCGTAGCTTAAACAAGTCTCCAAACCTTTTGACAAGCTTAATCCTTTTACTATGTCTATAGTCTAGACAGTTTGTGTCAATATAAATTCAACAAAAATACTAAATTTGAGAAACACCAAAAACTCTTTAAAAAAAGTTGATAGCAAATTCATTAAAGAGATACATGATGTTGTACAAGCACATAGATATGTGGCGGAATTAAACCTGATTTTATGGTTTAAGAAAATTTCATGATTATTTTTTTGTGTTAAATCAGTTTGTACATTGTTGAAGTAAAGCTGGAAGTAACTAACTCCTTTAATTTATGTAATGAAAGAATGTTTTTTTTATTTTTCAGATCATTAACTATATACCAGGTCATAATAGACTGGACGCTAATGTTCATTGGAATTTTAGGGTAAGTTTTCTGTTGATAATAAGCAAGGTAACACATGAAATAATGATTCTACTGTAAATGTGCATTGTGGGTTGTTATTTTTCACGAATTCTATGCATACAAATTTTGTGTGGGATTAAATTTGCACATCAATTAGAAAGTGAGCAATTCACACCAATATAATTTATTTGATCAAACTGTTCACTCCCAATATTGGACTATTATCTTGAAAACTGTAGTAGATAGAGAGAAACTGTAAATGCAAAAATGATTTGCAGGAAAGGTTCTTCATACTGATTAAAAAAATATATGGTTTCTATATCCTTTTGTCTTAAATATGGGAATGTAATTTGCTACTTCCGGTTAAGAAAATGTCACTTCCAGTTTCATATGATAGCTTTATTCATACTGATTCCAAAAATATATGGTTTCTATATACTTTTGAATGAATTAAGGGAGACAATAAGCTACTTCCCATTTATAGAGGGTCACTTCAGGTCTTATGGGGCTTTTTATCGACCTTGACTGGCTATAAACCCCTCGCATGGTCGTTATACGTATACGGTCTCTAATGATAGTTTTATATAAGTCTATTAAAATAAAATATGGTTTTTAGGTACTTTTCCATAAAAAAAAGTGCAAAAATTCTACTTCTGGTTTACTCGAGGTCACTTCCAGTTAACATCTTTCAAGGTCATATGTCACTTTTAAAACATTTTGCAAAAGACCCTATGGCTCTATCGTGTACCGTATTGAAGAAATAATCAATTAACATTAAATTTTAACATTTCAGGGGCAATTACTCCAATAAGATATCCTCAGATCGCTTCGGACTGAATGTACCATATCTTTGTCTCAACAACCCAAATATTAAGCACAAGTTATTTTATATCCAGCTTGAGATAAGATGCACACACAAGCAAAGGGAAAAATTTAAATCATGACCTTGACACTATTTTCTTTTTGGTGGACCAAGGACCTCAAATCAAGATTCCCTAGGTCTCTATCACTAACGGTTAATTAGTTACCTTTATATATCTCTTTTGTCAAATTTAAAAGGGAAAATAACTCTCATATGGAGTCTCAGTATTGCTTCGGTAAAAATTGACCGAAGCATCATGAGGATTTAACGAGCAAATTGGAAAATTAAATTGGCGATTTCCTTTACGGTTGCGAAGGAGATGTGCACACAAGAAAAACAGTGTTTAGGGAGATTACTCTTATAATAAAAAGTGTTCGGTTAAACAGGGTGAGTTTCAGAAGCGCAATAACTTCGATATCATATGAAAAAAATCTAAGCGGCATCTTGCGAAATGGGTTTTGCGGGAGAAGAAGAAAAAATAATGATCAGAACAAATATGACAGGTCTTTCCACAAAAAAAATCACAAAAAAGTGGCGGAAATTGCCAGTTGACTGCTCAGTTCTTGTCCTTGAATGACGATTTTTACCTGTGTTTGTGTTTTATGTTGAAAATATAACTTAAAGATAGAAAATGTCTGAAGTCATCCATTGACTTCTTATAGGGATTTTTCCCCATTTTTTTGCATTTTTGCCAGAAACTATAGTTAATGTTCAATTTGCATCATAACAATTTTATTCAAAAATGTCAGGTGAGCAATACTGTAAATTGGGTTATTTTGGTTGCAGTTTTATTTTGGTTTATTTGGTGCCTTCAATGAAAGTGCCAAAATTAAACACACGAAAATAAAGCAAACACTAAAAATTGAAACGCCAAAATAGCGCACCAGTACGACAGTATCTTTATGTTAATTGTTGTGGAAAATATCTTATGCTATAATATCTTCCGTATATTTCCTATATTCTATACATTACCAAATCTGATTATAATTTGATAACAATATATAATTTTTTACTTAATTGTCAATTTTCTGAAATTGTTAAGAAAACACAATAATGAATTTGAATTCACACATGTCATAAATATGCCAGGCTATTGCTGATTAGACACCGTTTTTGGTATTTAGAATATCTAAACCCCTTGTAATTCTTTTAATTAATTAACATGTACTGCCAGAGGCATACGGATTAAAATCTAAATCCTTGATCGTCAATCATTAATTTGTACTGCAATAGAGATAATGATTAAAATTTATTTCAAATGATTTTGGTAAAAAAACATATTTAAAATCACTTCCTTTAAGCTTTCAACCGCGAGATAACGGAAGTATTTGCATATGCATTCGTATCCGATTACTTCATTTAGTCAACCTAGTCGTGTTTCTAGTTTATGTAGGTCATTGATATTTTGACAATAAACGCAAACAGGTAAATAACTATAGAATAAAAAGAATAACTAATCGCAGAATTCAAATAGAGAAAAAATATTCAACGAGTGACCGAACAACACATGAATTCATGAATGCGCTATAATTATCAGTGTTGTTCGGTCACGAGTTGAATATTTTTCGATATTTGAATTCTTTGATTAGTTATTCTTTTTATTACATTGGCAAATGGCTTTTCAATGAAATTAAAGTAGAAAATGTAAGGAACTATATCTTTTTCTACGCATTCACAATTTGTTTTGATCCGAAGTAATCGACGTCTTGACAACGCCTATTGTTGTATGACGTCAGAGGAGTGAAATACAAAGTTTATTTCACATGTGAAATTATCGGTTTTTATTTCACTGGGAAATTAATGTAATTCATTGCAACCAATGTAATAAGAACAAATATGAATGAGCTCGCACACTTCTATTGTTCCAAAATTAAACACACCAATTAGACGAAGCACCAAAATTACACACACCAAAATAAAACACATGCCTTTCGAGTGAAAACCACCAAAATATCCTGACGCCAAAATTTCCCAATTTACGGTACAGGCTCCTCTAAGGAGCCTGTAGTTATTGATGGTTAGAATATACTGTTTGATATGTATCAGAAGATTTGAGAACTGTAGATAGGAAAGTAATGTGAACAAAAAAAACTGCAGCATCTTGAGAGTATTGCACAGGCAATACAATGTCCCCTACTGACAAAAACATAATTTGAGTTTAAAGCTTCACTGGAATAAACGTTTCCTTTGCTATATGTAATTTCTTTTAAAAAAAATGACCAAATACCAAATATATACTCAACTGATTTAGGCATCAAAGAAAAAAGTGAGGAAAACTCCCGATTATCATGCAATTTTCTGTGTCAGAGGCTACAACTTTGGTAAAATCACTAAAACAGTTGACCAAACTTAACATAAAACTTCTTATATATGTGACTACCGGTATATATTAAATATATAATCAAATGCTTAAGGCTTTACATAAAAAATCAGAATATTATTAAGCAATTTACCATTTCCTAGGGCAACAACTTCTGCACTAAATGTAGAATGATTCATAAACTTGATCTGTAACTTCTAATGATCAGTCTAAATACAAAATATGGAATCAATTGATTCAGGCATTGCAGAAAAAGTGCCTAAAACATATATTTTAAAATAGTTTTCAGTATTTTAAAGGATCAAAAGTGTTGCAAAAATTACTCAACTGAATTGAAATGGAACTCAAAATTAATCTTTAATTTCTCAAAATTAATCTGTTATTTTGGAGCAAGGTATACTGGTTAACATTTGTCCATTCATTTGTCCCATAAAATGTTAGTCACACTTTTCTCAAGAACTACAAATTACAGCTTCCTGAAAATAGGTATCAAGCTTCATGTGAGCATACTATACAGTGTGGTGCAGTTTCAGTTTTAGTGGGGTTGTGTTGTTCAGTCTTATTTTCTATCTGAGATCATCCCCAGGTTTTAGTGGGGTTGTGTTGTTCAGTCTAGTTTTCCATCCCAAGATTCAGATTCATTGCTCATCCTCTTCCTGGTAATCAATACTCAGTAGGGGTATCATCAGTGAGCAATAGTTCACAGTTCAATTTGTTTCTAATGATATGACTATATACTAATTATCTAATCAGCCAGAACTCAATATGGCCCCCTCAACATTTGGCGGGCCGGCCGGGCATACTAAGACAATAACATATAACAGTTTATTCCGCCATATAGAATTCTTTCCATGAAGCATTGCAGAAAAAGTGTGGAAAACTTCAGTGTGACAGACTGAATGATGGATTGCAAAGCTGTATAAAAAAGAAGATGTGGTATGATTGCCAATGAGACAACTCTCCACAAGAGACCAAATGACACAGAAATTAACAACTAAGGTCACCGTACGGCCTTCAACAATGAGCAAAGCCCATACCGCACAGTCAGCTATAAAAGACCCTGTAATGACAATGTAAAACAATTCAAACGAGAAAACTAACGGCCTAATTTATGTCCAAAAATGAACGAAAAACAAATATGTAACACATAAACAAACGACAACCACTGAATTACAGGCTCCTGACTTGGGACAGGCACATACATACAGAATGTTGCTGGGTTAAACATGTTAGCGTGATCCCAACTCTCCCCTAACCTGAATCAGTGGTGTAACAGTACAACATAAGAACGAACTATAAAAATCAGTTGAAAGAGGCTTAACTCATCAGATGGATAAAAATACAAATACTACAAATACAAGTGGACGTGGCCGGGTACTTGTACATCCAAACAACAAAAGACACTAAGTACAGATCTGAGAGTACTCGCATTTACTGACAGCTAGTTCAAAGCCACTAACAACTAATAAAAAAAATTATGCATCTAAGACTAATTATCAATCCGTACACATCCAACATCCAATGGATTTAGTGTAAAGACGTCATAAACAGTCAGAGAAAAACATGACCTTGTGCAATGCCAAGATACAGGTATCTACAGATTGTAGATCCTTTGACTGTTAAGCCCCTTTGACTAAGACAATTGTAGATGACTAACAATTTTATCTTGCAATGTTTAAAACCAGGTAGAACTATAATTAGTTTTAATGAATGAACTCTCTTCTAATATGCATTCTTTTGGTATCTCCTTTTGTAGGGATTGTTGTTTTATAAACATCATCTATCCATTTAACTACGGTATTATGGATTGGGAACTGACACATGACATGATACATATAC